GCAGTAACGAGTTTTGATTTGTCAAAAATAAAGTCTGAAGAAATGAAACGAATTGAAGTCAAAATATCCGATGAATATAACCATTCCAATAACACGAATACAAAATACAATGCAAAATTTGGGAGTTGTGAAACAGTAAATTTGAAAGGAGGATGGTGGTATAAGGTGGAGTTTGACAATGTTCAAGAATTGTATTTGAAACATTGTTCAATTGATGTTTTAAAAGGAAACATTATTAAAAAATTTAAAACGTGTTATATAAAAGTAAAAAACGTTGAAGTCAAAACTGTGAGTAAAAAAGAAGAAGTAGACGATAGTAGTGAAAATGAAATTCTCGAAGATTTTTTTTAATTTAAATGATTCTTACAAATTAATTTTAGTTATTCAAACTTATTAGTCATTTTTAATATAATAACATTAATAGTTTTGAAAAATCATTATTATAGGCAAGTTATTGTGATTACATTGACATAAATGTTTTTAACATTCACCATACAGTTAAATTTATATTGGTATATGAAGTTATAAAAATGGGTTTCAAAATGTGTGTATTTTTTATTAATTATTATGGCTGAAAAATAAAAATAACAATGAAATTCATAACATAATACACAATTAAAATGCCAAATATATATATTTTTAGTTATTTAAAACCAATTAAAACAAGTGTAAACAAAAATGTTTTTAAAATTTCCAATTGTTTATAATAAAAACAACTTATTGTGTATTTGTAAAAAAAACATGTAGACTTTTGGTGCGGTTTGGTTCTGGTCAACTTACAACCAGAAGTATTAAAGTGGATTCTTTATATTGATCTCCTTAATCTGTTTGTCATTTCATGCTTTGATTTTCTCCGAGTCGGCAACCATCTTGTCAATCTGCTTCTTTTGAAAATAGAAAAGTCTTCAAATTATTACATGTATTATATCTTTATCAATTTCAATATCTCTTACTATATAAATTAATGAATCACATAAGATTGACAGGTTATGTTATAATGATTGTTTTGTTATTTAAAAACGTGTTGAATGACATTAAGTGTTTTTAAAGTATTGAAATATATTAAGACCATTAAGTAATAATACACTTTAAGTGTTTATGTTTATGTTATATGTATGACATTTGGTCACAAACCACTGTTTTTTGTTTTAATTTTTTTAAATTAGATATCTGACTTTTTTGATAATAGATAAAAATAGACAAAATATAAACAAACCAAATATTGTTATTTGTATTGATATGTATTGATGATTAATTATTTTATCTTTGAAATTTTGTTAAGTTCTTTGTGGTATATTGTAATTCAACATGAATAAATATAGATTCAAATAATTGGTGTGATAAAAAAATATTGATCATTCTTCGAACTGTTGTTGGTGATTGTCCTAATGTACACACAGCCAAAAAGTGAGCTACATTACCCAAAGACCTTATACAAATATAAATTTATGATGGTAAGTGCCTGACTATTGTATGTTTGAAATACCTCTCGCCAAGACCACCAGTTTGCACCACATTTTCAACAAAACAAAAGTCTCAATCAAAGATTATTGTGCTAAACAATAAAATATTGTAAGAATTGGCAATTTTTATACAAAATTGGTTATTATTTTTTTTAAAAAAAGTTAACACAACAGTTTTTGTATTGTTTAAATTTGTCCAAAAAAATTTAGTTTATTCCAATCAACAATTTTCATAAGTAATTGATGAAATATTTTTTCTTTTATTGTCAAAAAATACAATTATTGGTTTTCAAAAATAAAGTTGATATTTAACAAATAAATTGAATATTTTTATTTTTATTATTATTAAAATGCCACTTAGATTCGTGCATGTATTTCTTGGGTCTTTATTAAAATAAATATGGTCTGGTTTTATTTGAATTACAATAATTATTTAATTGTGATTTTAATAAAATAATTACGATATAAAACAATAATTATATCATAATATTTTAACAATAAACAACAAATTAATAACATTAATGGTGATGTTTTGTGAATGATTTTTAACATGTAAATAAAGTATTATATTTAATTTATTAATTTATTATTAAAGAATAATGTTTATAATATATTTCCAAAAAGCTTGAAACAATGAACAATTCTTAATCAATTATAGATTAAAAACGTTTACAAAAAAGAATTTGAAAAAATTTAAACAACTAAAAATATCAAAATGTGTGAACTTTCTGGTTATCACATAATGATAGTCTCGAAGTATTTCAAGACCACCAACGACTTCATTAACTTGGAGTTGGTATGCAAAAAGTTTAGTGGCAATATGGAAAAGTTCCACTTCAACCCAATTCCGTTAAATTCCAAAACATTCAAATATTTTCCAAACATTGAGACACTTCACTTGTGGAATGTAAAAGATGAGAATTTTGGCAATGGATTTTCTATCAACACAAAAGAAAATGAAAATAATGCCGTTTTGAAGAGAAAGTTCTTTTGTGTTATTGTGTGGTTCAATGTTGATTTTGAAACTGTTGACAGAAACAAAAGTCGAAACATTAAGTTCCAAAATGTGACTTACACTCAAAATGATAGAGAGAAATTTGGTAATAATATTCCATCAAGTGTGACATCAATTGGTAATTGTTGTTTCAGTGGATGTAGTAGTTTAAGCAGCATTGTGATACCATATAGTGTAAAATCTATCAGTGATTTTTGTTTTAATCAATGCAGCAATTTAAGCAGTATTAACATATTATCAAGTGTCACATCAATTGGTAACGGTTGTTTTATTGAATGCAGCAGATTAAGTTGTGTTACAATACCCTCTAGTGTCATATTTATTGGTAATAGTTGTTTCTTTAGATGCAGTAGTTTAAGCATTGTTGACATACCATCGAGTGTCACATTAATTGGTAATTGTTGTTTCAGTGGATGCAGCAGTTTAAGCAGTATTAACATACCATCTAGTGTGACATCAATTGGTGGGAGTTGTTTCTTTGAATGCAGCAATTTACGTGATGTCAACATACAATCAAGTGTAAAATCTATTGGTGATTGTTGTTTCTTTAGATGCAGCAGTTTAATTAGTATTACAATACCATCTAGTGTCACATCTATTGGTAATTATTGTTTCTCATCAAACACAGTAGTTCATCAAAGCAAATGAAGTAATTTAGTTAATACTTATTTGTCTATTTTTGTTTATTTAAAAATAAAACAATCAAAAAAATTTTTAATAAAAATGAATAATTGATAAAGACAATATCGCGATTGAGCGGGCAAAATAATGCGGTGGCTCATAAAGCCTGCCCCACTCATTTTTGGGGTACAAAGATTACTCAAATGCAAGATTATGTAAATTGGTGAATATATACTATACGCCATTTAATAATATTAATTAACTCGCCGACGTACCTAATCCCCAACAAACCAATACTGTTAAAAAGAGCAGTGTTTTTGTTTTTTTGAAAAAATTATATTATACAGTGTAGTTCAATTATAGTAAAATGAAAATGGAATAACGAGTTCAAATAGTGAACTAAAAAACAAATAAATTGTGAAAAAATGAAAAAATAATATAAAATTTTATGACAAAAACGTAAAAAATGGCAAAATAATAATAGTGGTAAAATGCAATAACATTTTTTAAAACAAATAAATATGTTTTTATTCATAAAACAATAAAAACAATTGGTTCTGAGTTGAAATAAAATACAAATTGCAAAAGATACATGAACACGTCAATGATAATTAATGTAAATATAAAATATGTACACACAATAGTCTTTATAAAAAATAAAAACTTCTTAAAAAAATTATATTCACTGTGTATTTTCAGAAAGTACAACTTAGCAAGATTTTTTGACAATTTTTGTCTCTCTAAAAAATATTTTTATTATCTCTTGGTATTTACAATAAAGTGACTAATCTCTTGAAGAGTTTTTATCAAAAGAATTTAAAATCGAACAAGCAATCATTAAAAACAAATTATAATGTCAAATCTATTATTAATTTAATAACAATTTCCCTCCACTACAAATAATCCACATATTTTTATATTGTTGTCTAACTTCTTGTCAAATATATGGACTGTTTAACCAATTGTTTGTTGTTGACTCTTGATATTTTGATGTATATAATAGCATTTTTTATAATCTATTGAAAGGGGCGTTTTAAATGAATAAGGTAAACCACAACTATATTTTTAATTTTTCAAACAACAAAAAACTAAACTTCTTTGTCTATCAATGCTATTTTATTGATTTATTTGGTATATATTTTTAATTTTTGTTGTGTTTTACGTTATGCGTAATTTAGCTTTTTTATTGTCAATAACAAGGTATACTTTATTATAATTATTCTTTATATTCGGGTTGCTTGATAATCAATTACAGATGCATCACTGTCTGCAAAAGCGATGCATAATGGATTCGTTTTATTGTTATTATATTTTACAACTATTTCGACTCTATCATTTTCACTATGACACGGAAACACGTTATTCAATGGAAATAACAACCACTGTTATCAATTTGCGTCATTCTCTGAACATAACCAATTTTATTTTTTTATTAAGACTATTATTATTTATTTGTTTTATCAAACAAGAAATAGCAATTTTCACGTTAGTTATGTGTGCTTTTTATCGTTGTTTTTAAATTTTATGAATAATTTTCTCAGAGTTGTCAGAAAATAGTCTGTCTTGATAAGATTAACTATATTTTATTGTAAACAACCATTTTTATTGGTTATTATCTGTATTTTTATTATTATTAAAAATTATACAACTTTCGAGCAGGACACAAATTTAATTTAGATATTGAAACTCCATTTTGAAATTAAATACAAAAATTGAATATTTAAAAACTATAAGTTATTACCATAATCAATCTCAGTTGATTTTACACATTTACACTTTGACATAGAAATTGATTAGTAGATTGAATGTGTGATTTTTTAAACATTCACTGCGTTTTGTGGACTTCTTTAATATATTTTAAAGTCCAAATTTGTTGTTGGAAGTTAATTGTTTCTAAATGCTACATTTAAATTTTTTATTATTAAATTGTGTTGTATTTATTAAATAATTAATCAAATGATTAGTTTGATAACTTTCAAATTTGCTTTCTTTTATACTTACTAAATCATCATTTTCATTTTTAAAAACAAACTACAAGTGGTAGCAATTGACCGTTTATGTATCCGAAACGTCAATTTTATTAACGGGAATATAAAAAAATTTCAACCATTGTTTGGTTTTTCAAATATTTTTAATTGTTTTTTTTGTTTTTAATTAATGTTTTAAAAATAATATAAAATGTTTTTTATTTATAACAATAAATATTATATTTTACTATAATTTGCTAAAGCCGACTTTTCCCACCAACTCTTTATTATTTTGGTTGTAATTTTTGTTCTGTTTTGGTTTTAAATTTTTATATAAAAAAATAAATGCACAAAACGGTTTTTGGTGTAAAAAATAAAAAATATTTTTATTATTATAATTTTATATTATTTGTTTTTATTTATTTTTTCTGGAAAATCACCTAATAATATTTCAAAATTATTTAAACAGTTTTGGGACAATTTTTTTTAAAAACTGTTAAAAAGAGCAGTATTGGGTTGTTGGCGAGTTAATAATCAATATTTAAAATATGATATAATAAGAATGTTAATAAATAATAGTTTTATTTGATAGAATTTTTAAAATTAGTGGGTAATCTATATATGTATATTTCAAAAACAATTTTTAATTATAGGAGGTCTATAAACTGTTTGGGGAATTTATTAGAAACTTTAAAAAGAAAAACCCAATATTTATACTATTTTGGAAAAAAACCCACTCAGCACTTTTGGGAAATATAATTTTGGAAACATGTTAATTTTTATTTTTGTTATTGTTGTTTTGCAATTTTAAAAATTAATAAAAAACCAATAATACCATAATACAATTAATGAATATAAAGGTTGATTATTTTTTTCATAAAAATAAAAATAAAATGTAACGAATAAGCATTTTTTATAATATAAATTACAAAATAAAGATTAATTATTTGGACTAAAATGGTGTTGTTGACCCGATAATTATTATCGGATTTTAAAGTGCTTGTTAATATATATTTGAAAAAGCACATACATAAATCATTTTTAATTATTATTTAATAATATTTATAAACTAAATAATTGAATTTGTCATATTTTAATGATTATATTTAAAAAAGATAAACTTCCAAACACAAACTGTAAAATATTACTAAAAAAACAAACGATAAATTATAAAATTAAGATTTAATAATAATGATTGGTACTTGTACTATATTTCTCAATAATTGATAATAATTATAACTTAAACACATTTAAACAATATTAACCATCTGAGAACTCTAAAAACCAAAAATAATGGATTTTATTTAATCTTAGTTATTTTTTAAGTAAATGAGACTTTTATTTCTTTAATTACTCCAACTTTCTTGAGACAACTGTGTTAGTATAATTTTATAGTTAAATATTATAATAGAAAAGTGAACCTTTTGTTGAAGTGGGGACGAACAAAGGTTCACTTTTTTGCTTGATCTTTTCAAAAGCAAGTCACAGTCCAATGGAAAAGTCAGATCAAATATTTATTGAGATGTCTACAACTTATAACAATAATAAAATTAATTATAAAATATAACAAAGACCAAATTGCATTATAAAACATACTGGTCCAGAATATTCAAAATCAATTACATCATAAAATAACAAAGAAAAGAAAAACATAGACTTTGAGGTGTCTTGAAATTTCAATATGAATTGATCTCAAAAACAATAACAAGAGAAAATAAATAATTTTTTTGTAAACTTTGAAAAATACAATAATTTAAAAACGGGGTTTTACTATTTTTTTATGATACAAAAAGATAAGACGTAAAGACACTTTTGTTTGTACCGACTTGAAAAAAAATCTTAAAGAAAATAAGTGTAAAATAAACAAAAAAAATACTAAAATATATTTTCAAAAGCATCAAAAATCGCAAAACCAAAAAATTATAAAATACGTTTTACGGTCAAAATAATCGCTCTTTAATCAAATTGAAGTTTTGTGGTTGATCGTTAAAATTCACTTCGTGCCACTGTCGAGGAAGCAAGATATGAATTCATTGTTTGTAATTGGTATATTTTATCATTTTCAAACAAAAACAAAGGGCAAAACGTGTTTTATGCAATCTATTTAGAATATAATTATTTGTATTTGGTAAATAATTGTTTGTTTTGCATTCATTGTTTATTCATTTTCGAATTATGCATTTTTGGGCAACAAACAAAAAACTTATAGTAAATGTATAGAGATAATGAAAAACAAAGAAAAACACAAGTGTAAAGATATCATGATATATACCAATGTTAACACTTTAAACTTTAATTTATAATAAAATAAATTAATATATTGTTAAAATTAATAATGTTATTTATAATAGTTTTATAATTATGATTGTTATATATTATAGTAACAATCAACAGACATAATTTTGACACAATAACACATCAACAATCATATCTTTACTACAACGTGATTTCATCGAAGTGATAAGTGATCACATTGATATAACAATTTTGTGTAATTAAAACTATATTGTATTTTATGTATAATTATAACAAAAATGGTATAATCACCCCTATTTATATTATTATCATTATAGAAAATACATAGTGTTTTGTAATAAAGTGTGTTTTGACTGAAATATATAGTTCAAAGTCAAACAAAACAAATAAACATTTAATTTTATAAACAGAAACACACTGGTTTAATTAATGATCAATAAAATGATTATATGTGATATACTTGATGTAGTTGTTATATATATATATAACAATTTAAATTATTTGGATGTTAAAAATGATTACATACTATATTTATTATATTATTTCACCAATAATAATATATAGTCTAAAATAATATATAACAATAATTAAATAATAAATTAATTTGTTAAATGACAATAATGGTAAAATAATGTTATTCAAACACATTAAATAACATAAATATTAAAATAATTTTTGTTTTAAAAGGGATAATTTTAAAGAATATTTTAATTTACAACAATCTGTTATTCCACGATAATGGATCAATAAGAAATATCAAATAAATGTCACTTATAATATTGTTAACAGTTATAGTTAAAATAGTAGATTATTTACTCTTTATTGTTTATTCGATTGATTTTGTGGTAAGGCTTGTTCCACCATTACCTCTAAAAATATACTATTTTTTACCATTTGATATAATAATCAAATTTAAATTATAGTAAATGGGAAACTGGGATAATATTAGGTCTGGTTCCCGAATTCTAAAAATGCCGAAAAATCACCTCGAGTTAGTGTTAACCGAGTGAGACGGAACATTGAAAAGAAGGCTCATAATGACGCACCCAAACAGTCTGTTTGTGCACCGTTTCACCCACTTTCCAAGTCCTCCCTTGGCGCGGATCCCCCTGACCCCCCGCAAGCGAGGTGGTACCACATCCGCGTCCACACAGTACAGACAAGGACACAACCAGGCGTTTACTAAAAGTTACACGGTGAATGCCGAATTCCAAAAATGCTTCAGTCTTATTTTATAGAATGTTTTTTTAAAATGTGTTTTTGGGAAAAAGTTAACACCAGCTCTTTGTTTTTAAAACAAAAACGAGGCAAAAGAATAATACGCCTGGTTGTGGACAAGGAAAGTGGGTGACATAGCGACGAACAAACAGTAGCTAAAAATGGACTTCCTTCAAAAAACACTCACGGCAAATACTTTATTTTGGTTAAGGTGGTGGTGGAAAAAGCCGGTCCCTTGATTTTGTAACGAATTGTGTTTTGTGTTTTAAATAAACGTTTTTGTTCAAAAAATTAAAAATAAACACAGAAAGGTTACCCCATTTTGTTCAAAACTTTTTTTCATGTTAAACAATTATAGTTATTTTTAATTAATGAATACTATTTTAACAAATTAAATGCAAAGAACATTTTTGTGTTTTTATTTGTTGATTGCTAAACAATAAAATAGTTAAAATTAATTAAAAGTACTAATTAATATCTAACATAAAACAACGTCATTTGTATTACAAAAAAGTTTATAATGAAACAAAGAAAATACTTGGCATAAATTTAAATAAACACAATTATTGAGTTGATCTTTTAAGATTTGTTAAAAATAGATTTAAAGTTTAAAGTTGCATTGTTTTGAAACTGAAAATGTTCAAAATTACAGATACCTGAAAAACCGACCAACACAGAAAAAACGACCAACAAACTATAAAATGGTTTCTAAAAACTATTTAATGGTATTTCAATGCAAATTTAAAAAACACGACAAAAAACAAAAAACTATAATTTACTATAAATTTATGGTTTGCCGGTCTTTTTTTCTGTTCCAGACTATTTTTCAGGTATCTGTAATTTGTAATCAACAATTATCGTTTTTTTATATTTATATCCCAAAAAACATTTGAAAATCTAATAAATATCATAAATCAACATCAAATAATCATGTGAAATACACACACAATTTTTTGTTATATTAAAATAAATAATTCAAAAAATAAATAATTACTTACTACTACAAATATCTTTGCCGCCTTGCATTTTATTTGACGAAGAAATACAAAAATATGCTACATCATCAGAAAACAAAAAATCATATTAATTATCAAATTGTGGAGTCATCACCATTGAAAACGAGAGATTCAGATGCCCGGAAGCACTCTTTCAGCCGACATTTTTTTGGTATAGAAGCATCAGGTATCCACGAGACAACTTACAACTCAATCATGAAGTGCGATGTCGATATCAGAAAGGACTTGTACGGAAACATCGTTTTGTCTGATGGAACATAAATGTACTCAGGCATCAACGACAGACAAGAGAAGGAGAAAGTTTCAAATGAAAAACGAATAAGCCTAATCAAGGCTGTTTATGCTTGGCTCAATTTAATTATATTCATATTGGTGTTTATTTGGTTTCGTTTTAATATTATTATAATTATTGTAATAATCAATCATAAAATATATAATAATTTACTATCAGTTATATAATTCACAAGTTGATTAATTATAGTTTGATTTTTAATTAAAATTACTATACAATTTATTATTCTTTTGTCACGCATTGTATAATGTATCCAAAACGGCCATTTTTCTCGACTTAAATTGATGTTTTATAGCGTTGTTTTACCATATAAAATAATTATTTAATATTATCATTGTGTTAATACAATAACACATAAAATTAATAGTAAGTAGTGGGTTTATATCTTAATATTTTGTTGTTATTTGGTTCTCTAAGTATTTTTAGTTTGAGTGGAATCCATTTTTATTTTAAACAACAATATTTTTGTTATGTTGTTATTTTATTTTGGTTTGAACCAATCTTATTGGTTATATCGAACCCAAATTGTTGCACGTGTTTTAAGTGTTTTTTATTTTGTTTTTTTAAAAACTTGAATATCTGATAATATTATTTAATCAATTTTTATTAACAATTTTATTTGTTTATGAAAACAGTTTATTTTAGTATTATTTTTATTACTAATATTAATTTGTTAAATTGTATATTTTATTGATTGAAGGACCAATCTTTAACAAAAAAAGATTAATTTAAGTTTATGAATGATGAAATGTTTTATAAATAATTCAAAAGTTTGAATTTGAGTTGAACTATATTATCAAATAAGTCAATAATCGTTCTAAAGTGTTCATGAAAAGTCGCCATTATTTTCATTTTTTTGGAAAAGTGAAATTATTTTTTGAAATTTTTTTCTAAAAAAAACAAAAAGAAAATTTTTCAGTCCTCGTAGGGTTAATAAATATTTTGAAATTGTATAATTTAAAAATATTTTGAACCAAATATAGATATTAAATTAATTACATATTTATATTAAACTCTTTCGTTTAATAAATGAAACATATGTTTTCATTTATTAACAAAAAATACTTTTTTGTTCTTATTAAATTATTATTCAAACTATATTTATTTATTTCAAAATATTAAAAACTAAGTGATAACTTGAATTATTAATTTATAATACAGAATCATCATTTAATGTCGACAAAATCGACTATTAAGATTTTGACGATCAAAAAATAGTAAAAGTGCTCGACAATATCAAAATTGGCGTGGAAAAATATAAAAATTGTTATTTATAAGATTTGTTGAAATTGGTCATTAATTTGCACCGGTGTCATCGTTGCCAGTAAATAAATAAACGTTGATTTACTCAAACCATATCCAGATGTCTCATTCTTATATAGTGTAAACAAGTTGATGAGAAAACACTTGATTTTACACCAACAAAAGGAGCACCAAGTTTGTCAAAAATGCGAGTCATTGCATGCTCAAATATTGGGTATTACGAAAACATGAACGACCCGTATTTGGCTGTTAGATGTCAATGTGATATCAACGAGTTTTCAGTTGTGTTGGACTCGTGGCACTCAGAAAAGAATCTTCACACGTTCTTGTTTATTCCTGGTAAAATAAACCAAAAGTTTGTCAAAAAAATAAAAGGAGAGTTGGATTGTCATGAAATTTGTGTGCGAAAATTGATTTAATTTCTTTGAATGATTATGTTTGGCAATTTATAATTAATAGAACTCAATTTAAAATCAATTTTGTAGTTTTTAGGTCAATTTCCCGATAAAATAAAACATTAAAACCATATTAAAAAGATTTTACTCAATTAGGTCATTTGAGTAAGCAGAATAATTTATTTTTAGAAAAATAAAAATTCTTTCAATTAAAATCTTTCATCATTGTTTTACCAAATGATTCACGTTTTTTTGTGATATAACAACAAAGTAACAAAAAAACTTTATAAGTTTTACACTTTTAATTTGTGGAATGTTAAATTTTTACAATCATCATACGGAGAATAAACACATTTCAAAGTGTCAGTTTAACCTTTCAACAAGACATTTAACGATGATAATCAATTAAATAAATCTTCAAATTTTGCTTTGTTAAAACCTGCTGACGTATGAAAATTGTATTGTCACGAAATTTGTCTATAAAATTCACGCTTTTTTCACTTTCGACAATTTCCTTTTCAATTTCACCATTATTATTGAAATTGTATTTTATTCCATGAAATCCGCACAACCTCATTTTGTCGAAAATGTTCAACAATTCAGTTTTTTGTTGGGGTTTTGACTGGAATTTACAAATTGAAAATTGACTCATTCTAGTTGGAACAATAGTGTTTCATTAACTTCCATTTTAAATCACCATTACCATCAACTAAATCAAATAATAATTGTGTATTTGAATTGTAATAAGATTCGAGACCAACAACTTCTTTTTGTTCGTTATAAGATTGGGTTGTTTGTTTTTGAACTTTGTTTCTCTTGTGGCCTTCCCACTTTCTTTGTTTTGTTTCAGTGTTAACCAAAGTTGAGTTGCGTCCAAGTGTTGGCTTCTTTGATGTTTATTTGTCAATAATTGTGTGTTTGGTGTGTTTAATTTCTTTTGTTTTTTGATTGTTTTTATTTAAAAACAAGTCTAGTATATTTTTCTGTTCATCAAACCATATTGGTTCATTTGTTGAGGTCATTGTGTCTCTTTTTGAAATTAAAGTAATTGTATGATTATTTGTTAACATTAAAACAATAAAAGATTCAGCCTGTCAAATGACAGCTAAATTCAAAAAAATTTATAATTAGTTAATTGATAAAAATAGTTTTTTACTTGAAAATCCATCTTTGAGTAAGCTCTCCTAAAAATGGTTTCAATAAAACAATTATTTATAAAAATAGATTTTAATAAATTGTTTTTTTAAATATGTGTTTTTAATTAATTGTTGAATTCAAATAAACTTTTGTTGAATTGTTATTATTGCCCACATTATTTTGTTTTACATTATTTTTGCCAACATCATTTTGTCCGGACATCTATTTTAATTATGACAATTTTGTTTTGAAAATTTGAAATAATAATCGGATTTTTTTGTCTTTTACACGTTCGCTGTTTCGCCTTTTATTTATTTTAAAGAGCATAGAAAAAAATGTCAATTTTGCTTTTTCTAAAAAAATCATTGTAAACTCGTATTATTTTTTCTGAGGATTTTTTGACACACAATATCTTATTAAAAAATATTATAACAACAGAGACATAATTCTCAAGATTCGAACAAAAAATAACGTAAAGATTAATTGATTACAATTATTGGAATTAACCCAAATTGTTAGCACTTTTCCCGTCGTCAATATTTTTATTCCAATAAAACACAAACCATCATTTTTTTCTTTTTAGTACACGACTGTCATTCTTTCTCATGTTTTTAATGTTTATCGACAATTCAAGAAAATTCGATAGGTTCCGACAGTGGTTAAACAACATTTTTGAATTTTAGTTCTTATTTCTTATTGTTGTAATATGAAAAAAAATACGAATTTATCAATATCGACAAGTACTCCCTCGTCGCTCGACAAATTTTTGTCATAAATGATCTATTTATATTTTTTACAATTTTTTGTTTTTAAATTAATATTATAATTATTATATAAATAATAATATCTTTATGATTTTGTGTTGAAACAGACTGATTTTCCCACGACCAAAACAATAATCAAGTATTATTCCATTTTCAGCTACTGTTTTTACGCCCCATTGAAACCAATTTTTTGTCCGTACTGATTGGACGCAGATGTCGTTTTCCCGCAAGCGGGTGATCCGCGACTGGGGAAGATAAAACTTGGATAAAACGGGTGCACAAACAGATTGTTTGCGTGTGTCTTCCTGAGCCTTCTTCATAATGCTCCGTATTACTCGGTTTACACTAACCCAAGGTAAACCTGTTCGACTTCGATTTAATAGAAACCATACCAATATTTACTTTATTATTTATATACTATTATTATAATTTATATATGATATCAAAATATAAACTTGTTTATTTATTATATTTCACAATAATTAAGGGCAATAAGTCTTTTATGTAAAAAGTTAATGGAAATAAAAATACACAAAAAATAAAACTTGTTTAAAAACTTTCGAAATTATAAATAAGCTCGAGAAAAAAATATTTTTTGATAAATAATTTCAATTTAAGACTAAATAAGAAATATCTTCGTCTTAACTTTTTTGATCCAATAAATCGGATTATTTAAAAACTTGGGTATTTTATGTTTATTTGATAGTAGAATGTTTATCAGTCCGTTTTTTGAATTTGACTAAATATATTATTTCTAATTAGTATTTTATGGTATTATTAAACTAAAAAAATACCTAGATACTAAAATAATTCATTTTTATCCAAAAACAATTGTTATGATCGATTTGGGTGAAAACCCAATCTTTTTACACAAATCGAAACAAAAAATAAGACATTGATAATAAAAACTCAAAAGTGTTGTTTTTATTATTTTTTTCTCTCGTTTTAATTATTTTTGAATGGATTAAACCCGATTTTTTAATTAAATCCAGATTTTACTGTATAATAATTATTTTTAAACCGTAACTTAAACAAAATCTCAATAATAAGTACTCGTTGTGTTTATTAAATATAAAATTAAAACAGATAAAACGTATAAACCATAAATATAAATAACAACATAATTATTTCGTTGTTGTGTTGAATCCAAAATCAAACAAAGTTGTCTGTATCATGACATCCAACTCTGGACAATTTATTACATTCACTTTTATGTCAATTCTACAATTATTTATCTTTTTAAAAAGCGGGCAATTTTGCACATGAATTTTCTTTGTGTTTTTGTTTACTGTAATTTCTTTGAGGTACTTACAATTTCCAATTACAACATTTTCTACTTTCTCTCCACACACCACAAAAACGACTTTCTCTCTAAAAATGGCAACTTTCTTCGTCTCGACAAATTTAGTAAAATTTTGTACCTTATTTACTGTTCCTATAATCTTACAACCTATAGCTCCCCCTTCTATGGAATCAAAGTAAACATCTTGTAAAACAACTTTTTTGACGGTGTTTTCCAATTTTAGCTTTCCAAATGTTTTCGA